GTGAAGTTCCTTGGGCATGTGATTTCTGGACAGGGAATTTCTGGTGATCCTTCTAAGATCGAAGCTGTGCTACAGTGGGAAAGGCCGAAGAATGTAGCGGAGATTCGCAGTTTTCTCGGACTGGCAGGCTATTACCGGCGTTTTGTGAAGGACTTCTCGAGCATCGCTGCACCGATGACTCGGTTGACGAGGAAGGAAGTCAGATTCGAATGGAACGCCGAATGTGAAAGTGCTTTTCAGGAATTGAAGGTCAGACTGACAAGTGCACCAGTCTTGACTATTCCTGACAGTGAAGGGCTGTATGAGGTATATACTGACGCCTCGGGGAGTGGGCTGGGCTGTGTGTTGATGCAAGGTGGACGCGTTGTACCTTATGCATCCCGACAACTAAAGCCACATGAACAGAATTACCCCACTCATGATTTGGAGCTGGCAGCAGTGATATTTGCTCTAAAGATATGGAGATGTTATCTTTATGGAGCAAAGTTTCAGGTCTTCTCTGACCATAAAAGTCTGAAGTACTTGTTTACTCAGAAAGACTTGAATCTCAGGCAAAGGAGATGGGTGGAGTACATGGAAGATTATGACTTCACTCTGCAATATCATCCGGGAAAAGCTAATGTGGTGGCTGATGCCCTTAGTAGGAAGACGACGGGGACTCTGGTGTCATTAGCTTTGGAAGATTGGAAAAGGACCGAAGTGGTAAGTGAGTACGATCTTCAGTTCTACAAAGATCATAACCAGGCTGTGGTGTACAATCTGGTCTCTACACCAGATATTGTGCAACGGGTTAAGTAGAATCAATGGCAGGATCCACACCTCCAAGGAATTTGGATTCGAATCCAGAATGGAGAGCAATTCGAGGATTGGAAAATCCGAGAGGATGGAGCCTTGTATTTCCGCAACCGCCTTGTTGTTCCTAAGGCGGATGAGGTAAAGAAGACGATTCTGCAAGAGGCACACAAATCGAGGTATGCCATACATCTGGGAAGTACAAAGATGTACCAGGACCTAAAAAGACAGTATTGGTGGAGAGGCATGAAAAGGGACGTTCGTGAGTATGTCTCGGAATGTGTGACTTGCCTCAGGATTAAAGTTGAGCACCATAAGCCAGCAGGAGAGTTGCAACCTCTTTCTGTCCCGGGATGGAAATGGGAGCACATCACTATGAATTTTTTGATGGGGCTACCGAGAACCGAGCTGAAGCACGATGCCATCTGGGTGGTGGTGGATAGGTTGACGAAGTATACGCATTTCATACCGTTTCGTACAACGTATTCTCAGAAGATTCTGTCAGAATTGTACCTGGAGCACATCGTGAGGCTACACAGAGTGCCATTGTCTATCACGTCAGATCGTGATACGTGTTTTAATGCAAGGTATTGGAGGAGTTTCCAAGAAGCCATGGGAACAGACTTGAATTTCAGCACAACATTTCATCCTCAGACTGATGGGCAATCTAAAAGGGTAATTCAGATTCTGGAGGATATACTTCGTGCTTGTATTCTGGAATTTGGCGGGAACTAGAAGAAATACCTGCATCTAGCTGAGTTTGCTTATAACAACAGCTATCAGGCCAGTATTGGAATGGCACCGTTTGAAGCTCTGTATGGTCGTCCTTGTAGGTCACCTATATGTTGGTTGGAACCAGAAGATCGACTGAGCACTGGACCGGAAGTCATTCAAGAGAATAATGAGAAGATAGCTATGATTCGAGAACGACTGTTGACAGCTCAAAGTTGTCAGAAAAGCTATGCTGACAGAAGGCGTAGGCCTTTGGAATTCCAAGAAGGCGACTTTGTTCTGTTAAAGGTTTCCCCACGTAAGGGAGTTACTTGGTTTGGTGTGAAAGGGAAGCTTGCGCCAAGGTATATTGGACCATTCCCGATCGTGTAGCGAGTCGGTGTTATGGCGTATCGTCTTGCCCTGCCGCCTGAATTATCTCATGTGCATGACGTGTTCCATGTCTCCATGCTTCGAAAATGTCAACCTGATCCGGAAGCTGTAGTGCAATGGTATGACGTTCCAATATAGGACGACACGACGTACGATGAGGTACCGGTCCAAATTATTGATCGGAAGCTGAAGAGTATGCGTCATCGTGAGATCC